TGGAGGGGGGGGTACTCATGTAAACGCATGCCGCGGTTGTTAGACCATTGACCTCGCATCCCTAAAACGCCTGGACGGAGCGCACTCATGTTTTGGGTGCCTTAATTGTAGACCATTGACCGCGCGTCTTCAAGTGGGAGGAGGGTTGTTCCCACAGGACCGATCAGAAAGGGCCGGCCAGGGGGGAGTTTGGAGATACGACACGCAAGAAACGGCGCAACGTGTACGAACTTGCGAAGGACGGACGGACGGGGACTTTCGCGATCTGGAAGAGGGGCAAACTCGGCTGGTTCCACCTTGACCAGCAACAACGACACCGACAACGGCAACATCGAGAGGTATCGACGAACATGAGTACATACCCGCGGTGCCAACGAACTCCCTCCGGCAGCCCGCGGGTTCGAACGACTTCTTTCTGCGCCCACCCACACCCATACGCCGATCGCCCTGTAGGTGTTCCTCCGAACAACCTCATCAACAGCAACAACGACGACGACGACTACAAACAGAAGACCAACAAAAACAATGGCAACAACAACACCCGACCCACTCAGGCACAGCTAGGTGGGCAAAACGTCATCTCTCTCTCTCTCTCTCTCTCTCTCTCTCTCTCTCCGTTGCTCACCCTGTACGTGCTCTCCTGAAGACCGACAACGATGAGATCGAACCCCTTCCCTCCGTACGGCAGCCACGGAGCGAGATCAGTCAGCGGGCTATTTCCCACGTTGAAACTGCGTGTGCAAAGATAGGTCGGGGTTGTTGGCTTGGGGGCCAGGCAGGGGGCTACAGCAGTCCGCGTCGGCAAGGAATTCCTATTGTATTTCTACCTTCCTGTGTCGATGTATGCTGGCTTTCCTCCCGCCCCGCCTCCCGCCCACAACAAGCCAACACCTACCCACGTTCCATAAACCAGAGCGAAGAACGTAGACAAACAGAACGCGCAATCACCTACTTAGAAATTAGCTCTGTTAACTGTTGTGCCACCCTTGCTCCTTACGTTATTAGTGGGGAACAAACAGAGAGGAAAATAGGTTCTGGTGCTGGCAGGGTCCAATTTCTTGTGCTTCGTGTGAAAGCCAAACCCTCAACATCCAAACTATGCATACCAACTTCGGCGGGCACGTTCTGGATATGAGAACAATATTACGGAGGAAAGTACTGCGTCTCCAGAGGGTTAGGATGTGAGGATCAACCACCAACTCCAAGACTACGATGGTGTTTGAGCAGAGGCAGCAACGGAGGTGGGGAGGGAGAGGCTATTCGGGGGTATCTTGCAGCGGGGTCGTGCATCGTGCCGTGATGTGTGTCAGTTCAGTAAGGCTCGGCCTGCCGTTCGATCAAAAAAGAGCGGATTCATCATCTCGAGGTGTGTACATAGGAATCAATAACGCAGCATCTTTGAACCACAGCAGAGTCTACTCGTGGTGTATGCTGCTGCAGATGACGACCACGCACGGGTAACCCTGTCGGCGCTACACTTGTACTCCACCATTGGTTTGACTCTCCGATATCGCGGTAGGGAGCAGCAGTAGAGAACACCACCACCGACTGGAGCACACGTACGTATCTGGAGATGGAATCAACTGAATGCAACCAAAGGCTCTCTCCTATACGGCACGCGATCTTGAGCGTACGGTCGTGATACGTCATAGGCCCCACCCAGGCTTTGGGATTTACTCTTAGCACCCACCCACTTGGTGGTTAATAGACATCGCCGTGCTTATTCGCACTCGACAACACCCGAAGGTACACCCACTTCCCAACTGAAAGGGTCGGTCGGGAAAGCGGACCATCGACCATCGTTACACTCGAACCCTAAGGCCTAACAGCTAACAGCGTTTGTTGTATCGTGGGCCCTCTGGTTGTGGGAAGAACGAACGCATGCGTCACTGCTGCTGCGCCGACTACGAAATATACCGTACTTCCTCCTGTTTGTATCTCGACAGCAAACAAACGTATATCTACGAATACACCTTATGATGCGACTGCTGCAGTCGGGAGTTGCTGTTGGTGGTTTTGGTGCCACTGCTAGAATTACCCTCTTGTGTTGCCATCACAGCAATACGCACGCCCCACAGAGCTGCCCCCGCCGTAAGAACCGACTGCAATTGTCTCTCTGGCAAACCCTCGTACACGATAACCGCATCCGATGCAATCTACTTGACCGGTGGTGCTGCTGTGTATGCATTGAGCAGAGGTTTCACCATCGATGAATCGTTGTTCGTGGGTTCAGCACAAGAAGCGGATGTTCTGCTACGAAACACAGCGAGCCGATTACAAAACAACGAGCAGCAGCAGTTACCTTCCAACGAGAAGTCTGACACGATCTCCGCCTTCGTAGCCCCTCTCCGTCTCTCGCTCCTGTCCCTCCTGCTGCTTCCCGCCGTCGTCCGCCCCCGGCGGCGGTCGGACATACGATGGATACAGCTCTACCGTGGCAGGCGCCCTATCTCCTACTGCTGGTAACGCCGGTGTCGGATCAAATTTCACTTGATCATCATCAGGAGGGGGCTCGCCAGTTTCCCCACCCCTTTCTGCGCCGCCGTGCCCCGACAGAAGCTTGGAGTCCTGCGGAGAGTCTCGGCCCCCCTCGGTCCGATCCATTGTCTTCTGCCCAGCGAACGGCCCGTGCTGTGCCTAGCAAGCCGAGCGCCGATGGTCGGAAGCTCTCTCTATCTCGTGCTTGACGCGATTCTGGATTGATTGATCAGGCAAGACGGCAGCGTCCAAATGTGAAAGTATGGGGGGGGGGTGGTACATGCTGCGGGCCCCCTCGGCTATGCTGCCAAATAGTGTTGCCGTACTGCACTGGGATACACGCCGTGTTGTAGAGAGAGCAGTGGAGGGTGGTTATGGGGTACCGACAGCTGGCGATTGCCATGCTCTCGCTGGCACACCGCTCGTCTTCCTTCGTGCCAAGAGCACTGACCACGGGCAGCAGCAGAGGGAGAGCACGTTCACAGGTGATGGGTATGTTGCAATTTTGCTGTCCAAACCCACCGCTCACTTCCCGAGGAGCCAACACCGATGATACAGATGATGATGTTCCCAGACGCCGGTGCTTTCCTTGGCCGACTAGGGCGCCACTCTTCCTACTGCTGCAAGTGGCATTCCTGTGCCGAGGCGGTGTGTTGAACTGCTGTGGGTTCTCGAGACAGAAATCCACCGTTGAGTGTGTGCTCATATTTGAGATTACGTCATTGCTTCCCTCGACAGGGTGCTGAGTCGGACCGACGACCTTTGCTTTGTACTACAGCTGTACCAGCAGCAGTTTCGTGTGTGCATGATCCTCACCTCGCGCACTAAGCAGCATCTGTACTGCTGACTTCTTTCCTCCATTCCCTTGCAGCCAATGCAAGCAATGGATGCGCGAAAATAATCTAAAACTTTTCCCAGCAGCACTTGCAACTGCTGTAGGGAGACACTATTGGTCGAATGTAAAAACACGAGATCGCTTGTGTGAACATGGAATGTAAACATGACAGCAGATTGGTGCAAATTGTACACAGCAGCAGTAACCTCGGTGTGGGCTTTGTGGGTGGTTGTTCAGATTACCGATGACTTCTTGTTCTTACCTCGAAAACGCTAATACACAAACGAAACGGAGTCGGTCTTATATGGCAAACACATAGCCGATAGAACAAGCATTTGTGTGTCGGTGAACGTTTTCTCCACGCACCATCGTCCCTGTCCGCACGAGCATCTGGCCCAAATGCCTTGGGGTCATCAGTATAGGTGCGTTGCTCTCGATGTACGGCAGTAGTCTAAAGCAGTTGACTCCCATGTACGAGAACTCTCAGTTGTGTCGGGGCACGACAGTCCATCGCAGGGCAGGGAGGGGGAGGAGACATTTCCAACACGTCAAGAATTTCCGAAATGGTCTTCTGTCGCTCGTCACGGACGGAAATATTGCCGGATCGCGCAAGAGGTACATATACATCCACTGCAAAGCCTCCAACACATCCCGTTCGACTGTGGTTATGTCTCGATCGGCTAGTCTTTCCGTGTTTGCACATATCTATTTTTCCTAATAGGCATACAGACAATCGCGCTCGGCTTGCACGCAGGTAGACTACTTTTGGTGCAAGGCCGTTTTGTGCATCAACAGCAAGGTCGCGTGCACAGCACGGCGTGAGTTTGCGCGTGCTACACGGAGACCGCAGCTCGTGTCCCCTGTCCCGCGATGGCATTTGCATGGTGTGCGGGGAGTCTTCGAAATGCACGGGCCATTTTGATGTTAGCGAGGAGGCTGGCTCCCTGCTATCGGACAAGTGCTACATTACTGGGTCGACACGGAAGTTATCGGCGTACAACCCGCATGCCGTTGCCAAGGTTATTGCGATCATGACAGCAGTAGCAGTGCGGTGTTTGGCTGGTACGTACACGCACATTATCGTATGCTTGATCAACAAACACGCTTGGCGTTGCAGGCATGGAGTCGGGCCGGCACGGCGGCAGCGGCGGCGACGGCCGTTAGGACACGGATGTCGTCGGCATCGTCGTCAGCATCATCCACCGGACACGACACGAAGGAGATGCCGCCGTACTACGTGACAACCCCGATCTACTACGTGAACGACAAGCCGCACATCGGGCACGCCTACACCACGCTGGCGTGCGACGTGATCGCTCGCTTCATGAGGCTCGACGGGAGGGAGGTGATGTTCTCTTGTCGGTTTCGTTACAATACAACATCCGTTATTAGCTTGGGGGGGGGGGGGGGGGTGTACTCATAGTCGTGCATGCCGTAGTCGTTAGACCATTGACCTCGCATCCCTACAAAGCCGGGACGGAGCACGCCGGGTTCTCACCGGACCAGGCTCTCACATCACCAAGCGCGAAGCGCCGTGAGGTATTTGGCGAGTCGCATGAAGGGTGAGCTGCATCCTGCTAAGGGTGTTCGGCATCTTGTGCTTACTTCCTTGCGTACGGATGACAGCTACGTATGACTTAGTTTATTTTCTGGTGCTTTCACTTCCAGAGACAGTTGTAAGCACTGTGTTACTGCCTCGAGGAAGCTTGACCATTTTAACACAACGAGGTGCGATCATCCCCCGTTGCGCGGAGTGAGGTTTCTCCACCCCGCACTACATGATCTACTCGACCACCATTATGGTTACCGCCAAAAAAAAAAAACCGAGGTAAAAAAAAAAAACGGTAACCTGGTTACCGAGTTCACGAGGTGAATTGGCTTGTTTTACAACGTCGTTGCCAAGCGACGAAAACCCAATCCCGATGGCAAACACCGACTGGGGGGCTTGTTTTACAACGTCGTTGCCAAGCGACGAAAACCCAATCCCGATGGCAAACACCGACTGGGGGGCTTGTTTTACAACGTCGTTGCCAAGCGACGAAAACCCAAACCCCGATGGCAAACACCGGGGGGGGCGGCTTGTTTTACAACGTCGTTGCCAAGCGACGAAAACCCAACCCCGATGGCAAACACCTGGGGGGGATGGGGGGGGGGGGCGTACTCATTTGTTGCTTGCCGTAGTCATTTGACCATTGACCACGCGTCCCTTTCGAGACGGAGCACCGTTCCTACACCTACTAGAGACACCACCAACATGGGAGCTCTTTACGTTTCTGCCACAAACTCCATAAAAAATTTCTTGCACAATCTTATCCCCGTCCTCTAGGGCCTCTTGTGCCCAGGGGGGGGCGCAACGACTCCACATTGCTAGGATTTTTCCTATTTAGCGTCGTTTTTTCTCCGTTTCTCAAGGCGTCTGTTGAGTCCCCCGAGGAGACCGATAATTTGATTCATAATATTCCAACGGACAATCAAGTGCTCTGAAATGATGGTGAACCGATGGTCATTGTTATTTACAGCTGGCCGGGAGGCGAAAGTCGCCGACGAGAACGTTCCCAAGATCGCTTCTTTCCCAACGGCAGCACGTTGCTTCCAACGAAACGTTCGTTCTGAGTCACCCATCCATGCTGCCCTTTTTCCGTTTTTATTTGTTGTCTTAACTGTTGGCCATTTACAAACAGGTCATGTTTCTGACGGGAACGGACGAACACGGGCAGAAGGTGGAAGCGTCGGCGCTTAAGGCCGACAAGTCGCCGCAGCAGTTCTGCGACGAGGTTTCGCAGGAGTTCAGGTAGGCGATGGCTTTTTTGTTGTTGTTGATTGTGACGGGTGGTGTTGGGGTCGGCAGCCCTGCGTTCGTGATGGGGATGGTAGTGTGGTGGGGTAGTGACAACAGTTTTTGTAGTAGTGGTGGTTGTGGTACGTGATCGTTTTTACCTCCCATCGTGGATGGTGTTGGAAGATCGTCTGGTGGCGATTCCCATCGCTTTTGATTCCATGTGTCTTTCTCGCTATATATAAATATACTCTACCCGACAGCTGACGCAACAGATGGACAGAATAAGTGCGTGATCTTCTTACAGCCGTAGGAAATTTCTTGACACTGTGGGGAAGAACTTACAAATCTATATATAGATAAATAGTCTTATACCTGTCTGTCTCTCTAACAATATATTTATCCTCTCTATCTATCTTTCCATCTTTGAACACGATTACTTTGCGAGAATCGCTCTTCTAAAGATGGCGGCAACGGCGGTACGGTACCCAAACTCACCGATCCCTTCCTCATTTCCTCCACCTCTCCCTAACCTCTTCTGCCCCCCCCCCCCCCACCCCCCCCCTCAACCCTAAATAAAAAAAAAAAAATTTTTTAAAAACCATAATTTTTTAAAACACCCCTTTTTAA